GATGCCGAAATGTGAGCAGATGCAGCTTTGGATTGTGAATAGAGCTGTGCAGCTCTTTGGAGGTTCCCTGGCCTCCCCCCCCCCCTAATCCCCACTGTTTGTCTCTGTCTGGTTAGTTGTTTGATGAAATCATCGCAAATCTGCAAAAAGGGCGTACAAGCGGGAAAGCGTCGATATGTGTTCGGAAACAGCTGGTTGTCGACCTCAATTATTTTTACGAGGCTCCGCGGGCTTGGGCGCGCACTGTCAATCGACAACATTTTTATGGTCACTCGGGTTGTTGGGCTGAAACACGGGACTTGTCCGCTGTCGACCCCCTCATCGCCAACCCGCTTTTAATTAGAGAAGCAAACTATGTCACACTTAGCGCGTGACTCGTCGTGCACGTTGGAAAGAGGTTTAAAGCCGGCGGGGCGTAAGGTAGGCATAAGGTATGGTCTGCCAAAGGAAGGGAGGGGGGGGGGGAGGAATGTGCCCCAGGACTTCCCGTAATTGCCCTTACGCCGATGGCATTGCATGAAAATGATCGCTTGACATTTGCTCCGAGATAGAACCGGCGGTAGAAGGCAACCGTTGACATCACAGCAGCCCCTCTTTCCGTGGTCATCCCTGACAGGGAGTGTCATCGGGTTCCAGGTCAGAGATCAGAGGTCAGGGTAGACGCTAAAGGATGCTGCAGACACCGCAGTAACCATCCGCGGCAGCAGCACTTCTGATGCACAATATCTACTGCGACTACCAGAATAACTGCTAAAGAGATGGTAAAGAGCTGCAGATGGTGTCATGGCTGGATACTAGTTGGATTACTAGTTGGATACTAGACACTAGGCTGGATTTCACTAGGTATGTCATGTCCGTGCGAGCCTAATTTTCTGCTTTAGAGCTTCAGATGTCAAGTAATGATGGTGCCTTTAATCCTTACACATTGCCGGCCGTGCTTTTTGGTTCGTTGGACCGCGAGGCGAGTTTGCTATTGCGTGCTGGTCACGTAGAAATTCCCATCGATTGT